CACTCGGCCACTATGTGTTTCTCCTCCCTTCACCCAATTTCCATCAGGCTCTGGTGGTAGTGAAGGCCACCCCGGACGTGGCAGTGCTGAGGGTGGGCTACGGCGGTCGGGCGACAGCCTGGGCAGCCTCCTACTCAGTCAATCAGACGGTGGAGACTCTGATTTACCTAGAGGCTGGCGAGTCAAAATATGCATATATGCCGGTGCTACCGCGTCACCCCGGTAACAACACCTTCACAATCTGCGCTTACTCATTCATCGGATCAAACTGCGAGACGCGCACCATCAGAGTTAAGGTGAGGCCACATACGTATTTACGAAACACTAACACGTTACTTTTAGTTTGAATTGTTTAACGATTATCTCCCGTGACGTATACACAGTAAAAATGAATTAACCCATGATATAATAGCTCTTGTAGGGTTTATTACGGGCATTCCTTCCCAATCCCGTAAGTGGGGCTTTTCTGGGCCATGCTAGAACACCGTGACGTTGCACAGTTGGTAAACCTTAAAGAACTAACGCAACGCCTTAAAAAAACCCAATATGCAAAGCCGCAATTCGTGAGAAAGGCTGCCAAGGGGCCAAACAAAAAATATAATGCTTAGATTTATCAGTATGCCTTACAGCGTAGCTCGCACTTATTTAACAAGCTTGCAATGAACACGACGCATTTGGCATTTAGTCCAGTGATTTTCAAAAGCCATCTATCTATGCGAAACAGTTTGCTAGGTGACATTTATTTTATCGGTAGGCGCGACATAACGCGTTTGGAGATAACGCCCGACTTGTCCAACAAGCGGGAACAGAAAATTGAAACGCGGGGGAAAATGTAATTTTGTTCTCCCTTCCTGGTTTTTAGATGAACGGAATAACGAACTACTTCCACACAGCGCGTTTTCTTGACCTTACAAGCTCCAGTAACCTCTTTGTCAACAATTTCCGTGTGATCGTGCCCCAGAAGTTCACAGTGGTCGAACAGCGCGCTCATCGATTCGTGCCGGGCTCCCAGGTTGGTATTGTCAGCATCACTGGTAGGTCGTGCCATCGGATTTGGTCCTTTTTGAAAAATGTATATTTCTTGGTGTTAAAAAGATCCGAGGTCGGTTTGTATGCAGATAAAAGGGGACCTCACAGATTTAAGGCAGCATGGAGAAAAAAGTGGGAGACTGGAATTGCCACTCGTGTTATGTGAACTGTTGTGTACTTATTTACGAACTGGGATTCAAAGTGAGGACAATTGATCATTAAGGGTTTTAAATCCATTACTCTACGATTGAGCTAAGGCCTAGTTGTCTTAGGGTAATGAATATTCCCGATGGCAACCGACAGGACAACAGACCCGTGGATCAAAGCTGGAGCGCCATGCTGACTAACGCCCAATGACCTGAAAATCTCAGGTATGATAAATATGGAGTCGGTTAGGACTGGCTGATGAAAGCTAATAAATCGGGCTAACCGTTGCCTGATAAAATATTTTATGGTAAATGTTGTTGGAATCATGCCTATTTTAAATTATCAACTGTAATGTTATCCCGCAAACTTCTGCTATGCATTTTACATCGGTATACTCCACAAAAGTGCAAGTTATTTTTCGGGAAATTACTGAATACCTTAAGGGTCACCTAAAGTATCGGGCGCCTACAGCTCCTGAAAGCGTTCCCATAGGAAGTTCTTCATGCCCATATTCACCTATCACCGTGGACTTACCATATCGAGAAAATAAATGCTACTTCTGAATGAAAGGGACAGCGATAAACAGAATCTTTAGCAAATAACGATGTTCCCTCCTTAACTTTTTACCTAAAATCACAATAGGATTTTTGGCAAAAGTAGCGGCAAAACTAGCTTATGTAGCCCCACTCATATACCCCTAGTTCCAGCATGTTGTCCTGCAAAAACGGTGGTTCTAGAGTTTTGGGGGTGGGGAAATAGGATAGGCAGAAAATTAAATTTTTAGAAGTAAGTGTAAAATGAAAAAAATGCTGTCGAATCTGCTCCCCGCGGCCGCTGGGAGTGAGTTGTTCCGCATGTAAATTGAAGGCATGCGCGGCGCTTCGCGCCGCGGACTATGCCAATCTAACTCCAGAACGGTAAGTTGGAGTAGACAACC